AATCAAATGTGGCCGCTCCAAACAGCTCTGTAATCCCATGATGGGAGTCACAGGGGATCTCTGCTGCAGATGTCTGCTCGGCTGTGCAAGGCAGCCCTGGAGAGTTGAGGGAGCTGTGGCTGTGAAAAAATACATATAAACAACTCACACTGCAGGATTGGAGGGATTACCGGCCAGGTATCGCTTTATAAATCTCTCCTGAATTCATGAATTTGTGACACGGCTTCGATTAAAGTGGCAGTTAATTGATGGAAAGTAAATCTCGTGGAGTCATGCCGTTATTTAGAAGCTGGATGAAGTAGTGATAAGAGCTAGTTTGGCTTTAGGAAAGAAACCTGGATGCATCAGGTAGGTGCATGGACCAATCTGCTCTGTTTGGCCATTTGCAGTCTGTATATTTAGTTAGAACATCTATCCATCCATCTATTCATCCATTATCTATACACCACTTAATCCTCACTAGGGTCACAGGGGAGCCTATCCCAGCTGATTCAGGGTGAAGGCAGAGGACACCCTGGACAGGTCACCAGTCTATCACAGGGCTACACTTAGAGACAGACAACCAAGCACACTCACATTCACACCTGCAGACAATTTAGAATCACCAATTAACTGCAACGTGTTTTTGGACTGTGTGGGAGGAACCCGGAGAGAACCCATGCAGAAAGATCCCGGGTGTCCCCACCGGGACGCGAACTGGCGACCTTCTAGTGGTGCTACCAACTACGCCACCCTGCAGCCCCTACTTAGAACATGAAATTTAAAATTACAATTTGGAGGCTAGTAGTTAAAAACGTATTTGCTAGGGCGACCACGTTGAGATGCTCAAATGATACTCGAAGTTTACTCAAAGATGCTTTATAATTTCATCACATTTAAAGTATGCCTCCTCCAGGACAGGACCAGGACATTTTCATCACTTAATAAAAAAACAACCAGGACAGACAGGACAGGAGGAGAAAACAGGACATGTCTCGGGAAAACATGATGTTTGGTCACCCTCATATTTGCATGCATCAACAGGTTGAAAAGCTGAACCACTTTAAAGCTACATTCATTGATTTTTGACCAACATTTCCATCCCCACCCTTCCACACACCAAGGCACAAAAAAATCCCTACTCTGACTGCTCCTTTTTTCTTGATTTTGTCTGCTTTTAAATTCTCAAAATCCACCTGCCGAAACATTGCTGACAGACATTTCTTGCCCATGGTTGCTCTCATTTCATTTTTTATGCATTTTATTAGAGAAAATTACCTCCCTCGTAGGTAGCAAGTAATCTTAAACAAATCCTCTGTGTTTTAACAGTATTGGAATGAAAATTGCCTGGAGTCTATTTCTCGACTTGTAATAGATTTGTAGGAGGATAATCTTTCTCTTCTGTGCTCTGAGGGCTGCAAACTGGAGCAACTCTCATGCAAAAAGCCTCGTCTAAATCCTACAGATACGGGGCGCGGAATATTTTGTACATCTGAGTGTAACCAATACATCATTAAAGACCATGTTAAATAACAGCAAATTGGCTGGTAATGCTTTTGGTAGCAGCCAGCTGTTGGCTGAGACCTGAAAGCAAGCTGTCAATGTTAATGTCGTCGACCTTGGATTTGTCACTCTCACAAAGCGCCTCTTCATTGTCTGTGTGCTGTTTTGTTCCTCTTTTGCTGAATCTCATGCTGATGGGGCCGTGATTCTTCAGGGAGAATCTGGGCACATGTCTCAAACTCGGGGAACTGCTCTTGCAGTGATGCCACACAGGACTGCAGTGACTCAAGCGGCAGCACAGCGGCTGACAGATCCTGTTCGCTGCTCTACGTGACACCGCGAGTCAACTTAAGTCTCTGCAGCACAGTATGAAATAATGTAGCAGTTTCTTTTTTTTTTTTTAAAGTTTAACAATACAGCCGCCTTGTGCTGGGCGTCCCGTCTCATCTCATTTTCAGCTGCAATCATCTCAAGGGCCTCTCTTGTTTCACCGTCATGCTCAGGGAAGACTCTTGTACCGTCTGAGCCGTATGCCCATATGGTGCTTAGGAGACACATCACCGAGACTATTCCTAAACTCCATATTCCATTGATGAGCGGATGAAGAAGCATGCAGGTCTGCAGAACCTCCTGAACAGACTCGCCTTTGTGCAGCTGAGTCTGACAGCCTCGACACCAACAGTATTCAATGAATGGGCTACACAAGCAAAAACTGTGCTTCTATGAGAGCTCCTTGACCATTTACTGACACAGTTCCTTTCTATGACTGTCCACAGTAATTGGAAAGACCTGAAGCTAAATCTCAGATTTTCAGCACAAATTCACCCTGAACTGTAAAAACAAACAAACAAAAAACACCAAATGTTTTTTTTTGGCAGATTTTTAAAAAAAAAAAACAATAATATTTTTGAACAAATTACTATTGTTTTCCTCGCTTTGTTAATATACACATAGTAATTAGTGAAACTACAGGAAAAAGTATTCACTTCATTGTTAACCTTAAAAAAAACAACAAGATAAAACGAAATAATTTTGTACTTTTACAAATTTGCTCTTGTATGTTTTTTTTTTTTTTTTAATTACACTTTTTTTGTATATATTATCAGCAAAAAATATAATTGTGTGGCATATATTTGCTGTCATTTGAAAGAAAATAGATTTTTTTACTGTTTTTTTTACAGATTTTCCCTGTTTTGCTAAATTCTAAATACAACAGCACAATAGTAATTTGTTCTTTTACAATGTGTGAACTTAAAAGTGCTGTATTTAAATCAGCTAACAAATATTATTATTTTAAAGATGGTTTATTTGCTGTTATTTTCACCATTTTAGCAATTTTTTAAAAGTTGCAGAATGCAGCATTCCAACGTTTAACATATTGTAAGTGGCATCGTTGTTGAAGGTTTTTTTTTTTTACTGATTTTTGCTACAGATATTTAAAAATTTTATTTATTTAATTAATAAACATATTTTTTATTTATCATCATTTTTTTAACAGTGTGAGTCCAGTTAATGCGTACAAACCCAAAGCAGTCATTTGTACTGTAATAAACCTTAACATTAATGTAAATACATTAGTCACTTCCTAATAATGGAATCCACATGGTTCATGATAATAAGATGCATACAGCATTCCTATTACATCACTGCTATTATTCATGCATGTTAACTACTGCACCATTAAAGTTAAAGCTGAAAGTGCATTCATTCTGAATTTTCTTATTCTATCTCAGCCATAAAGTTGTTTGGGTGAATTTGATTTGTCTTGAATAAAAGGATCAATCTTCATCTGCAGTCATAGTTTCAATACTGTAGCTTCCATTATCTCATTGTCCTTCAAAGTTAACAAGATGAACTGAAGCAAACTCTGCACCAGTCGAAGCAATAAGTGACTCTCTGATGGGCTTCAGTGATGCACAGTAAAGATATGAGCTTATCCTCAGCAAATAAGTGCTGCGTCACAGGAGGACTGCGGGACCCACAAACACCGGTGGTTCCCCTGCAGTGCGAGAGAGCAGCGATGGGACTGGAAACAGAGAGAGAGAGGGGGGTAGAGGGAGGTGAGTGCTGCTGCAGAGCAACGTTTAGCCTGGCTGAGGAGTTAAACGCTTCACAGCGGCACATCTGCTTCATCCAGGCATTAATCCTGTTGAGATAGCCATGGTAAGTTCAAATCACTTCTGTGCTCGGATAGCGTGTGCCTCTGCAGCTCTGTGTGCTGCATGAGAACTGCAGGGATGATCATTGGACTAACCTTGAGAGAAATGATGCAGCAGGGCTGTTTATGGTGTGCAATGTGCATGTAAAATAGCTACTGCTTTGGTAACTCTGCTTCACTGGGGCCTGAATACATGCTCAGACTTTATGTGCTGCTGCAGCGCTGCTTCATAGGATGCGATTATTGGCATGTGACACTGACAGTGCAGACTTCTAGCATCCAGAAGCAGCACTTGGCTCCTTTATTTTGCTGTTGCGATGGTTTTATTCCTCTGACAGTGAAGCGGAATAAAAACCTATGGATCCCAGCATGTGTTGAAAGATGTATTTTTGCAGAAAGTATCTCCTGCAACCAGCCGGGGATCCATGTGATGCAGCTGGTCTGTCATACTGGGTCAAAACACACACACATCTGGAACTGTATGGCTGTTTGCACTCTCCCATAACGAGCAGCAGTAACATCCAAGAAGAACTCCAGCAAATTATTATTATTTTTGGGTCCCAGTCCAAGGACACTGCTAATAACAGCCTTTACATAAGTCTGACGTGTACCATAAGCACCACGGACACTAAGTTTGCCATTTTTCTTAAGTAATTGTGATGATTTTGTGTTATTCATGGCCTCATACAGCCATTTTCTTTACTAATTGGTCTCCACTGATGCAAGTCTGCCCCCCTCTCCCCATCAAAACTTTCCAAATCTTTCACTGCAGACATTCAACACTACAGCTAAAACAAAAACTGCCAAACAAGCTTTAAGTTTACACTGTCCTGTGAGGGGCTATCTCTGCTTTTCATGCTGTGCTGTGACTCACAGCTAAAGCTACTGTATGCAGCAGGCTGCTTGGTTATTTTATAGCCACGGCTCTCTCACAAACCAAACACAGTCAAGTCAGCGAACTATACTTTCTTCGTAAAACCCAAAGTAATCAGTTGTCTGCAACTGTTTGCTGACCAGCTTCACTGCCCAGAACGGAAACACTTGACTTGAAATCCAAATGCAGATGTTGGCCAAGTTGCATGGCTTAAACTATGTGTGTGGTTATAGTCTGCTATTTAATTCATTGTGTTGTACATACAGTGAGAACCCCAAGAATTGTAATGCCACAGTTGTTCTGGCTGTTACGTTATTTATAGTATTTTCCAACACCTGAAGATGTCAAGCTGTTGTACTTGTTATTTCGTCTGCTATTCACCTTTTTTCCCCCCAGCTTTAGGGGAGCCTGTAATTCTTCTATTTCTCTGATATCTGTCCTTTCCTGCAGTTCTCCAGGCAGCTTCGACCTCTGATCTTTGGGAAAATGTCCTTTGCGGTGTTCATCCTCACCTCTGCCCTGACAGTGTCCTGCCTGTCCGCTGACACAGACAAGGGAAGGAGGAAAGTGGTGCATGTTCTGGGTAAGGACGCTCTATTCTTGAAAGCTGCACATCGGTAGAGCCACGAGGTCTTTGTGTTCACTGATCTGAGCTGGAATCTGCACATAAAAGATATGTAGATATGGTGAGAATGTTACTCACTTGATGTGCATCAGGAGTTAAGCTACTGACCTTCTAGAGACATGACTGCCTTTATTATCTGCAGTGTAAAGGCTAAAAGAGATGTATTTGTTCGTGATTGAGCTGTCCAGTAGATATGGTCCTAATATTTTGTCCCAGATCTTTTACTAAATCTTGTAAATGGTTTATATGGTTGGGTAGTTCAACAGCAACATCACAGTTTCAGACATTTACTATATATATTTAGGCTTTTTATAGTTTTTTTTTGTGTGAAATTACAGTTACTTTGGAGAATAAGAAGCTAATAAGTAATTGAAACAAAGAGTAAATCACACTGAAGAGTCAGGAGCATGTGGTAGCATAAAAATAAAAGAAACTAGTTTTCATATAATGGTATGGTTAAGTTTCTAAAATGAAAAGTGCAGAAAGGTTAAGACCGAAACCAATGAGAACTAATTTGATTGGTTGATTTTCATTCACTGCTATCCATTGCACTGTTTCCCCCACATTCTAAAATCCTATTAACTTTTGCTAAGTGTTTTCATGAACCCACAGAGAAATAATTAAAAAAGGAAATGACTTTCAGGTATTTTTTTTGTAAAGGTTAAAGTGGATGTAGTTGTTTGTCTAATAGAAGATTCTCAAGTGATTGAGCCGCCCAATAGGCAGGGTCCCAATAGATCTTATTATAAAACTTGTAAATGATCGATATGGTTGAGTAGTTTAAGCTATACTATATTTTTACATGACATTTACTGTTCAGATTTTAAGCTTTTATTAGGTTTTGGATGTGAAATATTGACAAACAACAGATGCTTTGCAGAAGAAGAAGCTAATAAGTACAGATACAGGGACAGCGCAGTACAATATATCACTGAAACGACTCGGAAGCATAAAAGTGAAAGAAACGACTTTTCATATGATGCTGAGTTCATAAAATGAAAAGTGCAAGAGACGTCAGCACTAACCCAGAGTAACCAGGAGGACATAAACCCTCCCCATCTGCCTGTCACGTCTCTAAACCTTCATAAAACGTTAACGTGGCGAAGCTCGTCTTGAAATCGGCACACTGCAACCCTCCAGCGTCGGAAACTAATGTGTTCAAAGTTTTGATTAAACACCACTTGATGCTTTCACGTCTGATGGTGATAAACAACTTTGCAGAGAGCACTAAGCAGTGACAGGACTAATTGCTGGCTGGCATGGATAATTATAGGTGCCTTTATCTGGTCACAACATAGCAGAAACCCTCTTGCAGTGGCTCATTAAAGGTTTTAAATGTTTACGCCACACTTGTTGCACTCTTTTGGTTGCCGAGGCGCACGCTCACACCCAAACAGCATCTGAGCAAACGTCTGCCAAAAATGCAAAGCAGGCCTTGTTATTATCCATTTGGATGAAGAGGAGCGTGGCTGCCATTAGTCTTGGGTCATTTTGGCGAATCGCTCTCTGCAGAGGTTCGAATTTTGAAGTGGATAATCTGATGATAGGTCCAGGCAGGGGAGTGAGTATGCTGCACACTGGACCCTTTTGTTGTGGGAAAAAAAAGAACAAAAAAAAGAAAAGAAAAACATTCACTGCTGTTGATATGCTGGATTGTTCAGGCACTAATGTGACAGCGCAAGTAAACAGCTCACGCTTTATTAGCTGCCGCTGATTCAATTTTGCAGGCGTCTCACTGCGATATGCTTCACAAAGACAATCAAAGATTGAATTTTACAATTAGAGCTACAAGTATTGGCAATGTCAAGGGTGATTGCAAACACCATTACAAGGACTAGACTGCACATACAGTATTTGCATGATAATGGAGGATTTCTTATGCACTTATCCGCTCATATTTATCACATTTAGTGTTATTTACTCTTAATTTAACAAGATTGCATAACTCAGAATGCAGATTTCTGGTTGCAGTGCTGTGTCAAATATCTCAACATCAATCCTTCCCTCAGAGGATGACACCGGAGCTGTGATTGTGCAGACAGCTCCCGGTAAGGTGGTGACACATCGCGGTGGCTCCATCACTCTGCCCTGCAGATTCCATCATGAGCCCGAGAACACTGATCCCGCTCGCATTCGGATTAAATGGACCAAAGTGACAGATGCGCTGCAGTTTGAGGACGTCTTTGTGGCACTCGGAAGGCAAATTCTGCATCTTCACTTCTCAGTCAATCTATCTTTAACCACTGTTGCAATCGATTTGAATGTTTCTCAGTTGTGGGTAATTGATTCGATTGGCTGATTTGAATTCAGTGATGTTTATTGCATTATTTTTCCCAAACATTTTGAAACCATACTACTTTTTTGTAAGTGTTTTCATTACCGCACTGAGAAATAATTAAAATTAAATGAGTTTTGTGTGATTTTTTTTTTTAGGAGTTCTCAATAATTTTGCTTACAGCCACTGTTTTTAAGGGACAGAAGTGTGCATGAAATCTCTCCAGGCAGCAGCGGGTGTTTGGATCATACCGAGGCCGAGTGTTTTTGGAGCAGGCAGGACCTGGTGACGCTTCAGTCATCATCCAAAATGTCACGCTGGAGGACTACGGACGCTACGAGTGTGAGGTCACTAATGACATGGAGGACGATACAGGATTTGTCAACCTTGACTTAGAAGGTCAGGAACAAGGGTTTTGTTGAAATTTTGTTTCTGAGGCTCATCAGGCTCTTGCACTGCATACATTCTTGGCTAAAGATGATTTATAACTGTACTGCCTTTCACTCAGTAGTTGATCCGGTTCTGTCACCTGCAGGAGTGGTCTTTCCCTATTACCCCCGTGATGGGCGCTACAAGCTCAACTACCACCAGGCTGAGGATGTGTGCAAGCAGCAGGACGCCATCCTGGCTTCTCATTCTCAACTGCACAAGGTGAGTTCACACATGTGGACAGTCTCTCCTGTTCAAGGCAAATTAACCTGCTAGACCCCTTTAAAAATCATTTTAAAAATGCCAAAATAAGAGAATTTGTTCAAGCCAGAAACTGTAAAAATAGAAAGACTCGTCTGGTTTTCAACTTTTCAAGGATCTTCTTGTGTGACATGTCATCCATCCATCCATCCATTATCTATACACCGCTTAATCCTCACTAGGGTCGCGGGGGGGCTGGAGCCTATCCCAGCTGACTCAGGGTGAAGACAGGGGACACCCTGGACAGGTCGCCAGTCTATCGCAGGGCTACACTTAGAGACAGACAACCAAGCACACTCACATTCACACCTATGAACAATTTAGAATCACCAATTAACCTCAACATGTTTTTGGACTGTGTGGGAGGAAGCTGGAGAACCCGGAGAGAACCCACGCTGCACAGGGAGAACATGTAAACTCCACGCAGAAAGATTCCGGTGTCCCCACCGGCCACCCTGCAGCCCGTGACATGTCATTTCATCAGAAAATGTAACCACATCTAAACTTAAAACTGTGATATTTTATCAAAATCCTTAAAAGATCTGCCAAAAAAAAATGAAGAGGGAAGATATTGTTTCAAGATATAACTCTAACCAACAGCCACAGGACAAAAACTCAGGGATTTTGCAGCTGAACTATGTTGAACTGCAGGCTGTGTTTACAAGGAAAAGATAAGAGACAGATAGAAGGAAACAAATTAAAAATGTTAGCAGTACAATATTTGTAGTATGTAAAGCCACTTTTTAACAATACTGCTAACATCTAGAGACACTCGGAAAACGTATTGCACATGGTTATTCTGGCCTTTTTTAATATTTGTAAAATAACTTATTAAATACATCCAGCTTCAGTTTTTCTTTTATTATGATTTATGGCATTATAACTGCATCATACTGCACTACTAGAGTTCTCTCTACTTCTAGCCATGGTTGGGCCATTTCCATGAGAGTGCAGGACTTTATATGGCAGTAAAGAAAATGAGCCCACAGTGAGTAAAAATGTGATAGAAGCCAAAAAACAAACACCTAGAAGCTGCTTAGGTGTTAAGAAAAACTGGGATACACATCACACATCACTGGCCTTCAATAGCACTTTCATTTATCCGCCACTCTTTTAGTCGTAACACAACATTTTCTTGCTGCAGTCCTCAACCATAAACTTTTAAAGAGTATGTATATGACTCGATCAAAAATTTTACCGCAGGCCGGTTCTCCGAATCTAAAAGGTGGTAAAGTCAAGAGTAATGTAGTTATGTCAGAGGAGATAAAAACTAATTCTTTCTCCTCTTAATAATGTCTTTAATCCTCCTGTATGACCCACTAACCCACATTATCTTCCTCCACAGGCCTGGCTGGAAGGACTGGACTGGTGTAATGCTGGATGGCTGGAGGACGGCTCAGTCCAGTACCCTATCTCTCATCCCAGAGATCAGTGCGGCCGCAAGGACACCCCGGCTGGTGTCCGTAACTATGGCTACAGGCACAAGGAGGATGAGCGCTATGATGCTTTCTGCTTCACTTCCAAGCTCAATGGTGAGAAACAGAAGAGATACGTAGGCTGGCGGCTGCAGATGTGTGCACATGCACGCGTGTATCTGAAAACCATCGACACTTTGTGGTCCAGTAAAAACGAACATCCAACCCGGTATCCTGCATCTTTGGCTCTTGACTGAAAGGAAAACAAAACACTGGCAGAGCTGGATTTTTTGTGCCACTGTATAGAAAGAGGACATATTATGAGTGTAGGACTGGGGGGAAATGAGGCCCAAGTCTCTGATCTGTGCCTGTGATCTTACAGGCCTAAGGCCACTGGATTTAAATCAGGCTATGTTGATTCAGCCCTGCTTGGGCCACAGTGTCCTCTGGGCGCCGAGCATCGCCTTTCATCTCCCAGCTCTTTGATTTACATCACATTCCCGCAGAGAGTCAGCACACGCCACCTTCAGGTTTATAAGCCCAAATAAACTCGGGAAAGTAGGGATCTGCATTAGTTTTATGCACTACATTTCTGCTTAATGGCAACCAGCAGCTGGCTATCTTTGCCAAGTAGCTGGAGGAAAACTGAATCGACCAAGTAGCATTTCTAAAGCTCACTAAATAAAACTCAATATCTTTTTGTTTGTCTCATGCAAGAAATAGACAGTTCTGTGAATTGTTTTCAGTTTTTGCACAAATTCAACAAATCATGTGTAACATGCCCGAGAGTCAATCTTTACATCTGTCTGTCAGGAAGAAAGTGAATGAGTGTATCTCAAACTGTTGAAGTATTACTTTAAAAAGAAAACCCGACAACATTCATAAAACATATTTTCATAAAACATGGCTGAAACTCTGCATACTCCCCTTTGAGGTTTGAAAGACCATTAAAACCGCTTCATGCATTCCACATAGTATGCAAACACTATATGACTTAGATTAAAAGTCAGTGCTTGTCATTTGCATCAACTGTTTTGGGATATCCGAAACTGGGACAAAAGAACCAGAGCCTTTCCTCAGCGAGAAAAAGGTAGCATGACAGAAACCTTAAACGATTGCTCATAGCTTCCCCTGTGTGTTAATTACTGTGGACAGTCTGTTGTGGGCAGGAGGTTTCAGCAGTGGTCTTGACCGATGCTGTGTCTCAGGCCAGCTGGAAGGTATTTACTGAACGTCCCCTGGGGGAATATGAGACAATATTCTGCCTCTCTAATAGCCACCAGTCACATAAACAAGCACAAAATCAATAGCTGAGCCAAGTGCAGAGCTGAGGTTGCTGACATGATTTTCATAAACAGTTGCTTGGAGAAACCGGCAGCCCTTTATTCTTAGTTAGGTTCTTTATTCTTTGCTTCTTTCTTTGGAGAAAACTACCTTTTGATTCATCTCAGTTCAAACAATTTACCCAATCAGGATACCAATTTCTTTAACACTGCCAGGCGAAAAAGTCTCCCCAGAGGTGAGATGAAAGCAAAAATTGAAGCGTTTAAAGAGTAATTCTGAGTTAGAGTTCTGTCCGCTGACACACTATTGCCTTTCAATTTTGAGTAGCTGCCCGGCCGGTTGTTGGAATGATTTGATATTCTGAACACAATCAGGCACAGAGGCCAGAAAAACTGAGAATATCTACCCTCGGGGCTCGGCTTGTCTCTGGGGCTTCTCTCTCTCTCATTCCCTTCCCTTTTGCCCTCCTGAACAATGCACTCGCAATGTTTTTTTTTCACCTTTTCACATGTTCTTACAACAAACACCATCTCCTTTCCTCCCTCTCTATATTTCCCCGCAGGCAAAGTGTACTTCCTCAAACGCTTTAAGAAGGTGAACTATGCGGAGGCGATGAAGGCATGCATTCGAGATGGTTCGGTGGTGGCCAAAGTGGGTCAGCTGTACGCAGCGTGGAAGTTTCAGCTTCTGGACCGCTGTGAAGCCGGCTGGCTGGAGGACGGCAGCATCCGGTACCCCATAGTCAACCCCCGTTCTCGCTGTGGAGGATCCCAGCCAGGAGTCCGACACCTGGGCTTCCCTGATAAAAAATTCCGCCTCTATGGGGTCTACTGCTTCCGCGAGAACAAGGACGAAACCGCAGGTGGTACTGGAATGACAAAAAGCCCTGCAGATAGTCTGTCAAGGAGGAAGAGCAGCAACAGCATCCCCATGAATGCCACAAGGGTGATTTAAAGTAAAAAGACTGAGAACAGGAGGGGGGGATGCAATTTTAGATTTGACTGCAACTGTCGCCTAGCAGCCAGACTCCATTCATCGCTTTTAAAGTAAAACACTCACAGACAAGATGTACTCATTTGCAGATTTGCCAGAGAGAAGAAGCGAGGCTGTGTAAAATTAAGGGTGACATCTTTATTAGGGTGATTTTCCTTTTCGTCTCCAGTCAGTCAATCATCTTAAGGAGCAAGTAAGCGAGTATGTTAGCACATCTGTCGCCTGAAAACTGAAAGATTCAACAGCAGCTTGATCATCACTCAGGCACACATCAGATCAGAGAGTCTGCCATGAATATTCTTGTTTACATGTGTGTGTGAATCATATTTTGGCCCCTGTGCGACTCCTGAGCACTGAGCTGCAGCCTGAGCCAGAATCCATCCCTGTGCCAGGGTGAAAACATTCATTACTGACTGAGATGGGATGATCTGCCTGGCTGTATGGAAAAAATCCAAGATGCCCTGTAAGTTTGGATTGTACCAAGTGTAACTGCCTGTATCTGGGTGCCATGCCTGGTTAGCAGCCCTTTGGCACAACGCGCGTCATTTTTCTCATTAACTAAGACCTGGCAATCTCATCATCAGAGCTGAACAGGCCAACTAGTTAATATTGCAGTAGCATTAAAATAATAATTGCACTTTAAATACATGGAGCTTTATTTTATGGTAGAATCCTAAGCAAGCATGAGTCATTTGGCTGAGAGTAGTTGCTGGGGCTGAACTAGCAAAAATACCAAGCTACAATAATTGCTATTTACCTCGCATACTGCATTTATAAGGTATCTAAGCCACCAATTGCACAATTGTCAATGCGACATGCAGAGACCTTTATTACAGAGTATGTTTGCAATTACTGAATGGATGGATCTTCTAGAAGAAAATAAAAATCCTGACATTGTTGATATGAAGAACATGTGTTTCAGTGCAATTTTTTTTTTCTAAATGAAGAGATCTGTCTTAATTTAGGTGACAAGTTTGAGTAACGCCATGTTATGCCGGCAAGATCTGTAATTCTACTTATGGTAACAGGTGAATATTCATCATTTACCATCAAAGGCTGTTAGCATCCATCCATCCATCCATCCATCCATCCATCCATCATCTTCCAAACAGGGCGATCCTGGTGTTCCTCTCCAAAGCAATATTCACCAGTTCCTTCTGGAAGATCCCAAGGTGTTCCCAGGCCAGATGAGATATGTATTCCCTCCAGTGAGTTTTTGGGTCTACCTCAGGGTCTCCCGCCAGTTGGAACTTGCTTGGAAAACCTCTAATGTGGAAGGTACACCAAAGGAATCCTAATCATATGCCTGAACCACCTGAGCTGCCACCTTTTGATGAGAAGGAGCAGCGACTCTAAATCTAACTCTCCCCTGACGTCAGATCTTCTCACACTATCTATGAGGCTGAACCCAGCCATCCTTTATAAGAAACCCATTTCAGCTACTTGCATTAACAATCCCATTCTTTTGGTCAGAGCTCAGGGCCATAAGTGAGGGCTAGAATGTAGAAATGTAGACACACACCCACATTACTGCACATTACAACCCCAATTCATCTGTCCATCTCACGTTTCATTTTCCCATCAAGATTTCAAGATACTCCTTTGCTTGAGGCGCCAACTCACCTCCAACTCAGATGGAGTGATCCACCAGTTTCTGGCAGAAAACCATGGCTTCAGAGTTGGAGGTGTTCAGTCTGCAAAACACCCCGCTGAAGGTCACAACCTGATGAAGCAAACAGAACCACATCATCTGCAAAAAGCAGAGAAAAGACTCTTAAGTTGCCAAACCGTCACAAACAGGTTTATGAACAAGGGGCAACCTTGGCAAGTTCAACAATCACCAGAAACATGCTTGACTTTGTGCCAGGAATACAGACACTCATATTCTCACACTCTTATTTACCAGCACTAAACACAAAGTACAGCTATGGGAAGCTCATTACTTTACAGATACTTGGCCATAAAACGAAGCAGACTGGTTCTAAAAATGGCGACAGACTAACAGTTAAGTAATCACATAAATTATCATAGTTTGTCATGAGAAGAGCATGACTTTTAGTACCCAGTTTTATTTAAATCTATAGAAGAGTTGTCATGACATTTCACTAAAAAACTAAATTGTCAGCCTCATGGTGGTGCTAGAGGAAAAGGCAGAGGATCACCAAAGTTAATTGTTTGGCACACAATGAATGTCTGCACTAAATTTCCATCTAATACTGGTTTCAGTCCACATCAACGTGGTGGAGCAACTGACTGATGACCAGTAATCAGATAATGTCAGCCATGCAGTAAAATGATAGTAAAACCTACCTGAGGTTCATCATTCTCTGTCTTTAAAAAGGTGAATGTAGAGGACGCATGTACACATCAATCAGCTGCAACATAAAAACCACTGACAGGTGGAGTGAATAACTTTGATCATCTTGTCACAATGCAACGTTCTGTTGGGAAGCCTTGGGTCTTGGCTTTTATGTCGATTTGGCAAATAACCATCGCTGTGTGTGACTGAGATACAGGTAATTTGAATTACCTTTCTGAAAAACAAGACAGACTGGTATTTACTAAACTGATGGTTTCTTGAAATGCAGTTGCATACAAATGCACAACCCAATACATTGTTACCACAGCAACCCCATAGCGCCACCTAAAGGCCAGAACATGAAATGCCAAAGAACCCCTATCGATGTATTCTGCACCAATAGTACACCATCCACGTTGTTCCAGACAAAGCACACCTCTCTATCAGCAACGGAGGCAGCCCCAGTGGCAATGCGCCTCACGACACCCCAAAAAACTGCTGAAGAACTGCTCGAGGAACACCATTAGGAGTAAAGGCGTTGACAGCTCCGTGGTCAAAACAACAGCTTTGTTAAATTTGAGACTTGTAGCTGAGGTGAAGCCTTATCTTCCTTTTAACGACTTCGAAAAAGTTATTCATGTTTTTATTACCATGTGGCTAGACCATTATAAATGTATGTATGTGGGTGTAGAGATGTCATCCCTTCAGAGTCTGCAGCTGGTTCTCTGAAGAGAAAAAAAGAAACCATGATCACTCAACTCCAGTATTGGCTTCCATCACTGGTTTCCTGTCCACTTCAGGATTGATTTTATTGTTTGTTTTTTAAAGTTTTAAATGAGTTGGCACTATTTGCTTAGCAGAACTCCTACACTCGTTGACCAGCCAGATGCTCCTGGGTGTTCCAAGATTTAGACTCAAAAATAGAGGCGATCAAGCCTTCACGATAGCTGCTCCGAATATCTGGAACAGTTTATCTTTCCATCTGAGAACTGCTCAGACATTAATAACTTCTAAATCGCTGCACAAGACCCACCTCCTTTTGTTGGTGTTTGATTCTAGCACAGCCTGACAACCTCACTTCATCTATTCCAGTGTTGTTTCAATAACAATTATATTTAGCATTGTCTTTCAGGCATTGTGTTTTATTATTAAAAACTGAACAGCACTTTGGTTCAACACCTGTTGCTTTTAAATGTCCTTTTTAAAGAAATTTTACTTTTTCTTGGTCTTGAGATTCCTCAGATCTCAATCTACTCAATCTGATCAAGCATCTGCCACAACAGGGACCTACACAATATTTATCATTTTAATCCTGTGGCTGGTCGGTGTATATGTCACCTGAGACTTAAGATCCCTAATGTGTCTTGGGACATTTTTTTTGTAAATCAATATTAATAATAAATCACTTATATGAGAAAGTTTCACAGTTGGATAGATAATGAATGTTTCATTCTGGAGTATATGTGCTTCTCTCTGCCTCACATCCATCTGAGTGTTTGCCAGAGAGAGAAACTGCTGAGCAGCGAACGCGACTCTGAGTGGGAGCATGTTGGTGTTGCGCCAACACAGCAGAACAAACCATGTCATCGTCATAGCAACTGCTAGTATCTAATTAAGTCAAGTTCATGGCAAGTCCAACACCAGGAAACAAATGCTGTGAGCTACGAACTTAAGCTGTAAAAATAAATAAATAAAAAATAATCGTGTGTTAACGGCAAATTGACGCCTTTTGTGCTGCTTGTTAAAGGTTGTAAGAACAAGAAAAAGGCTCTGAGATGACCTCCATGATCAAAGTTGATGATTATAAGGATTTGCTCCCTCCAGCCCCATTAGTTTGTACGACTGTGTGAAATTAGAGTCACAACCACTAAATTAATAAGCAAAGTCCTACTCGATGCATTATAACATTTATAATTTATGGGGGACTACTTTTTCTGCATTTTAGTACTGAAGTAACTCTGATACTTTTAACATCATCTGGATGCATGTTGCAATGTTAACGCATTTAAAATTTAAATTGCACGGCATTTAAACTGCAAGCTCCGTCTTATATAAGAGTAAGGTCATTGTGAATCGAAGTCAGTGCTTTACATTTTGCCAGCCAGCTCTTTGGTAAGCGGAAATGAGGCATATTCTTTTCATTTCATCGTTTCATTAACAAGAAAATTAACAGCGATAGTAGACACACATCAGACCAGCTGAGAACTCAAAGAAACCAACAGAGTCCACAGATGCTGATCTCAAAAGGCGAACGAGCTGAAAGTCCTCATGAGACAGAACATTAAAGCTCGATAGAAGCGTCCTAACGGTCCCTTTATTCAATAAACATTTGACATGAAGACAGAAAGAACAGACGGTTAGAAGGATGGCACAATGACACAGGCACTGTAGAAAAGCGACTGAACCCTTCAAACTAGTTTGCTCAGAAGATGACAGTGCTGTCTTCATTTCGTCAGGCCTCCTTATCCTCGCCTTTTCTTGTGAGCATGAAACGAAATTAGGTGACCCTATAACAACAGAGAACTGCCACACAATAAATACAGAGGGACGGGACGGCGGTGGCTCTCATTTATCAGCCTGTGACAGAGGTCAGGACTGAGATAGAGGCAGAAGGGAGGGGTCAAATGACAAAAAAAAATGACACAAGGAACAAAATGAAACA